CCCCCCCCCCCGCCCAGGAAAGGGCAGCCCCCACATGGCCAGGCTCTCCATCCAGCTTCGGCCTCCCAGGCAGTGGCTGAGTCCCCAAGGCCTCAGCAGTTTGTTCCCTGTGGCGGAAGGGGACTTGTCCCTCCCTGCCCACCCACAAGCTGACCAGGGCTGGTGGGTGCCTCCTCCACAGCCCCCCACCCCGGTTTGCTCCACGAGTGCTCGCCACCCATCACCCCTTCCCTGGTGCACTAATCCTCGGATGGGAGCAGCTGTCCACTTTCCTGGCCAGGGCCGGCCGCAGTGGCCGTGGGACAGTGCTGAGGACTATCAGTGGTAGATCAGGGTCAAGGTCAGGTTCCACCAATCTGGAGCCCCTGCCCTCACAGGTCCCAGCCGGGTCCATTGTATGGGGACAATGGCTTCCTGAGCCCAGTTCCTCTGCTGGCAGGAAAGCCATAGAGCCCCATGCCGTTGCCACCACCCACGACCCTTTGAAGGGCCTGCAGCTCTGGAGCCTGTCCCTTGGCCCCTCCCCCTTGCCCGCCTGGCTGGGGCCCAAGCCTCCCCAGGGAGCAGCCGACCCTCTCGACACGTAGGCAGAGGCACTAATCGGCTGGCCACACGCAAAGCTTGGAAGCCCCGACTCAAGAGCCCTCCCTCCAGGAGCCGACCAGCCCCTCTGGTGTCCCCCTGGGGCCAGGCTGCAGGTGGGGGTGGGTGTGTGTGTGTCCTGCTGAAGACAGCATGGGGCCTGGGCATGGGCAGGCTCTTGGTGCTGGAGCTGGGGATGGGGGCCACAGGAAGGGCCAGCGGTCCTCCTGCAGGACAGAGGACAAGCACAATGTCCCAACACCCCCAGCCTGGCTGGTCCTGGGGCACCCCTGCTGCAGGATGGGGGCAGAGAGAAGGGGGCCACAATCCGGGTCTGTCTAGGACCATAGGCAGCTGAGGTGCAGCGTCCAGTGGGCTGCAGGCTGACTGCCCACGGTGCCCACGGTGCTCTGGGCACGGCTGCACATGCAGGGGCGGTCAGGGTCCGGGAAGCAGCAGGTCTGGGGCTGCGAGGAGGCTCCTGCTAAACCCCCAGGGCTAGGGGCTAGGGTCACCTTTTCTCCGGGCCAGTCTTTGCGGCCTTATTGGGCAAAGGGGTCCTCAGACCCAGGAAGGGGACACGGACAGTGTACGAGATGGTGAGCCTTTGATGCCCGTGTGTACTGGGAGCCCAGCCAGGCAGGCCCTCCAACGACATGTTGGTGGCCTTGACACGTTGTGGACAAGGACCGCACACCCACTTTGAGGCTTCTAGTCTTTATTACTCGGGGAATACAGCGTTCCCAAGGGCGGCGCCCGACGGTGCTCAAGTGGCCGCCAGGGGGCAGGGAAGCTGAGCAAAGTGCCCAGGGCCAGGACACATGGCTGGGCACCCTGTCCCCCTAGCGGTTACATGTGTGGTCTGCAGTTTGAGTCCCTGAGAGCCCGGCTGGACTGTCCACAGCCTTGGGGTGCCCAGGCGCCCGACTCTCTTCCCAGGCCCCAGCTGCATCAACAAAGGACTGGGCACCCATACCCACAACGGCCACCCCGCACTGCCGGCCTCGGACCTGCCTGTGCCTCCCCACCACGCAGTCTGTCAGGGCTGCAGCCGCCCAGAGGTGGACAGAGGGGGACACTGTGACCCTGGGAGGTACAGGCGACGGACAGAGGTGTTGCTGCCCAGTTCCGGGACGGCCAAGGGGAGGTGCTCACCCCAGCAGACCCCATGGGGCTCCCGCTGGGTTCCCTGAGCTGGATGCATTGGAGGCAGCCCCGGACAGAGCAGACACTGCCTGGGGGACCTCAGTCCCCGGGGGATGCCCAACCCCTGCCCGTCCTCCCCAGAGCCCACTGCCGTCGGGCGGCGCTGGTACCCATGGACGGCCACCAGTCCCGCCTCTTGCTCGGGGCCCTGACCCAGCCGGAAGCCACCGTGGGGCCGGAGGAGGGCACCTGGTTGGGGGCGGGTTGTGTGAGTCCAGTACACACAAGACTGGGGGACGAGCAGGCCGGTGCCCATGGCTACTGGTGACAGTAGCCAGCAGGCTGGGCAGGTGTGGGAGGGTGGCCTTTTGGAGCCACTGGACAGATGTCACTCACCAGGGACAGCTCTGGAGAGGTGGACGCAGAGAGCACTCCTCCCAGCCTCCCCCCTGCCCACCTCTCCCCGCCCTCCAGGCCCCGCTGCCTGCCTGGGACACCCCGGAACGGCCGAGGAGGCACTAGCCAGCGTGCTGTCGGGCTGCGTGCAGCCGCAGACCTGGCCCCATCTTCGGAGGAGCCATGGCCCACCCGCCCGCTGCAGCCCTGTCAGAGGGTAACTGCGGTTCCAACCCCAGGGCTCGGGGCATAGGAGGGTATAGGCCCCACAGCTCGGGGCAGGATGGGCGACCAGCGGGAGCTACACACAGGCACGAGCCCTGGGTCTTGGGTGACCCTCCTCTCTGGGGAGCAGGCCCCATTGGCCGCAGCCCCCACTGCAGCTCACCTGCCTCGCAGGGGCTGGTGCCCAGAAAGGAGGGGTCCGGTGGCTGCAGACAGGTGTGTGTGAACGCACATGCGTGCACGCAGGGAGCGGCACACACAAGCGCGAGGATGGCACAATGGGGACGTGCATGGCTGCGTGGGGACAGCTGTGTCCTTGCACACTGTCCTCCGCCCAGGCTGCTGCTAGTTCGTCCGTCCCGCTCCACCATCACTCAAGCCCTCCCTACGTGACACTGGGGAGGGCCGCTGGCTGTCTGGGGCCCCCACACGGGAACCCCAGCCGTGCTTACGTGCTGGCCTCAGGTTCCAGCTCCGCAGGCTCAGGGATGGGCACGTGTGTGCTAGTGGGTGGACATGGGCTCCCAGATGGTCAGCACAGACGGGTGTCCAGGGCTCTCAGAACCTCCTCACCACCTCCCCTGGCTCTGCCGTGAGGTAGTGGAAAGCCGTGTGCCCTTCTCAGGACGAGCCTGTGGTCGCCGGCCAGGCCCCGGCACCCAGGAGGGGGATGGCTGTGAGGATGCGGCCCAGGGAGGCCCCCTCCACGCCGATGCCTGTGCCCTTCGGCCTCCCGCGGTGCCGTCCAAGCCGGCAGGTGGTCCACAGGCATCCCGCCCGCAGGGAGGCCGCGGAGCCCACGCCAGAAGCAGCCTCACCCGCAGGCAATGGCGTGCAGCAGGGGAATGCGTGTTCCGGCCGCTGCCCGGTGCTCCTCCTCGGGGCCAGACCCGGCCTGAGTCAGGCCCCTGGCCCTCGCGGCATCTCAGGGACGCTGACCCTTGGACCCTGGACCGAGTGCTCCCAAAGGCCCTGGCCCTCTCCCTGGCCCGGGCGCCCAGGCTCTCTGAGCCTCTAGTGCCCATTCCTGCCGCCCGCCCTGCAAGAACACAGGCCAGCAGGTGGTGAAGTGGGGGCTCGAGGTCCTGTCCCAGCCGCTGCAGCCCGTAACCGCAGACGGACAGGCGCAGACAGGCCTGCATGTCCCCCTCAGGCCCACACATGTGGCCGTGGTGGCCGGCACACAAGGTACGGGGCCACAGCCCAGAGGGACCCTACCGGCTGCTAGCCTGGGCCTCACCCCTGACCAGCACCTTGACCACCACCCAAGCATGAATACCCCACATGCCCTCCCACCCACATGACCCTCCACACCACACCCTCTCAGGGGACAGTCCTTCCCACCAGCCCTTCTTCCCTGACCCATCTCCAAGCCATGCAGGACCCTGACCCTTCCTGCTTCAGCCAGATCCCGCTCGCTGCCGTCTGCTCCCCAGACCTCATGTGCCAAGAGCCCCACCTGCCCATCCAGCCTCCCCGGGCCTCCTCCCCCCTCGCCTCTGGGCCTTGGCCCCGCCGGCCACCCTGAGCGCCTGCCTCTTCTCTCAAGTCCCCTTCCCCTCTGCCAACGCCCCGTGGGATCCCCTCCCTCCCCTGCCTTGCAGCTGCGGCTCTCCCACTAGCCTCTGCCCGGAAACCCGCTCTGGCCCTGGCTCCCAGCGGAGGCGCCTCCCCCTCGCTGAGCCCTGTCTCGAAGCCTGCCACGTACACCATGCTGCACCGGCGCCCCGGGTCCCAGAAGGCGACCCGGTCACCTCCAAAGCCACAGCTACCCCTCCACATGGGGGTCCTGTGGGCCCACCACCCTCTGTTCCTGAATGGCACAGCGAACACCCCAGGGCCAGACAGCCAGTGCTGAGGCTCCCTGAAGAGCCGCTGCAGCCCAGCCCTCCCTCCCACGAGGGGCCCTGGCCAGGACAGCCGATGCCGCTGCACAGGCTCAGGCACTGCTTACAGGGGTGGACGTGAGGGGTGAGGATGAAGCCCGAGCCACGTCCCCACCGTCCTTCTGACAACAGGGCCAGGGGCCTGCTGTGTGCCTCTCCCACCCCCACGGGCCGGGCGCCCTGCCGTGGCCTCCCTCCTCCAGGGCCGGCTGCGGAGCCCGGCAAGGCAGCACAGGCCACAGCCTCAGCGGGTGTCTGCTCTGGTAGGTCTTCCTGTCCCGCCGACCGCACAGCCCTCTCCGGCTCTCTGGGGCCCAGGACGGGTGCAGCCAAAGACCTCGAGATTCCCTGCCCACAGACTCTGCCACACTCCCGCCTGGACACAGAGGGCTGAGCCCTGGGGAGGCGACATGGCCTGGCTTGGCTGCCGTCAGGGGGGCCGAGGCCATGGCCTCAAGGAACAAGAGTTCCTGCCCTGCCTCCCTGGCCATGTCCAGCGCAGCGATGTCCACACTGAGGCCCTCAGAGTGGTCCCTGGGCCTTCAAGTGGCGGGGCTGGGCCCCTAGCTGGAGGGGAGGGCAGTGGTGCGGCCAGGACGCTCCGTCTGCCATCCGTCTACAGACCCTGAGCCAGGCCCCACTCCAACAAGACCCCGCTCTCCGGACTCCGGCTCGGGGCAGGGTCAGGCCAGCCTCACAGGCTGCACAGGGCACCCCCACGGCCGCTGGGCACCCGACGGTCCCTCATCTGCGGAGAGCACTGCTGACTCAGGTCACCGGCCGCTGGGCCACACCCGGTGCAGGAGAAGCCGGTCCAGCTGGAGACACGGGGGCGGGAAGGCTGGGTGCGGCACTTCTCAGCCCGGGGAGGGGCGGGGGCTGAGGCACCTAGCTCCGCAGGAGCAGCACCCCCGTCCAGCACTCACTTCCCAGAGTGGGCCTCCTCATGCCTCAGTGTCCTCCCGTGGGGCAGGACAGGTGCCGCCTGCCAAGGTTCCTGGGCCGTAAGACCCACATTGGACCAGATGCGAAGACACCGGCCCAGTCCCCTTGCCGGGCAAACGCCCCTCACGGCGCTCCAGACGGGGTCCTGGCAAGTGCCACGGAGGTGCGGAGCCGCTGTGGTGAGGCTGCAGGGCTGCGGCTCAGTAGCCATCATCTTCCTCGCCGTCACAGCCATAATCTGTGGGGCACAGAGGAGAGCCGTGGACACCCTGGGGCGGGGCCCACCTGGGTGGCCCCTCCTGGAGGGGCTCAGGCCCCCTCTGCCCGTGCTGTCTTCACCTCCCCAAGGCCCTGGGGCCTGGCTCCCGCTGGCCAGGCAGACCCCTGCAAACTGGAGCCCACGGCCTTCACAGCGCTCGGGCTCCCCACATGGACGCACTGATCTGCATCTTGGTCCCAACCTCCGTCCGGAGTAAGAGAAGGTCTCGTTCAAAGCCGAAAGCTCTGAGTTTAGGGCTAGTCAGGAGCAGAGGATTCGTGCCTTCTTCCAGAAGTCACCCCCGCTCCCACCCAGGGCCTGTCATCCCCATCCCGCCCACAGGGCGCCCTCACCACCGCTGCCCATCATCTGCAGGGCGCTGACACAGGGCTCCCCGTCCTCCTCGTCAGGGTCCTCCTCGTCGGGGTCCTCCTCGGGGGGGTAGGACACAGGCCCACTCTCCACCACCGCTGTGGGCCTGACGGGCTCGGCTCCCAGGCTGGGCGAGCTTGGGAGCAAGGTCTGCAACCGGGGCACAGGCTGTGGGAGGCCGCCTGCCCCGGGGGACGGGAGTCACAGCGCCAGCCTGGGCTCCCAGGGCCCACTGGCCCATCCCGTGTCCTGGACACTTCCCAGCCTTCGGAGCCCCCACAGCTCCCAGGCAGCCCCTCTGTCCAGCCCGTCCACACTCACGAGCCCCCATGAGGCTTCTGTTTCAAGGCCACAGGCCTTGCCCAGAGGATGTGGCCCAGCCCCACAGTATGTGGCTGGGGGCTCAGGCCCACTCCCCTGCCATCTGTGGGCCTCAGGACCGCTGTGCATGGGCCAGGAGAGCCCATGCTCCCTCCCTGCCACGGGCCGACTGCTCAGTGGCTCACAGACACAGTCCCCAGGCCCGTCCCGGGCTGTGGCTGCACAACGTACCTCCCCCACAGCTGCCTTCTTGGCCGGCTGGGCGGACACCATCGGCCTCAACCTGAAAGAGAGCACAGCATGGCAGCCTCAGTCCAGGCTACAGCCATGGGTCGGGGGACAACAAGCAGCCTGCTGAGGGGCGGCGTCTCTGGCCGCTGAGTGCCCGGCCCTAGGGTGAGGATGAGGCCCCCCTCCTCCAACTCTGCTCCCCCAGACCCCACACCCAGAAGCCGGACCCCCTCCTCAGCACTCACCCTGATGTCGCTCCTCCCAGCGGAGCCTCCCGGCCTCACGCTCCTCACCTGTCCCGGCCCAGTCGGCATTCTGCCCCCTCTGCTGGGGCTCACGCCCACCCCGTGCCCCCTCTGCTAGGGCGTATCCTACGTGCACACATGCCCCACGTACGTGCCACACAGAAGTGCGTGCGTGACTGCACCTGCCCCTCCTGACAGCACAACGGGCCCCAAGCCGCCACCCCCACGGGCCAAGTGGCACCAAGCCTGAGTACCACCCCCGTGGGGCCACGGCACAGTGGTGGGAGTGGGGGTGGGATCGGGGCGGTTGCCGGAAGCTGGAAATCAGGGTTTTTCTGTGAAAACTTCCTTTTTAATGTTGGTAACAAAGCCAGATTTTAGCTCAAAAGCTACGCTGGTCGATGGCAGATAGCCCTGGGCAGACCCGATGCTCGTTTGTCATTTGACGAGTAAGAACCTAAAATCGGGGGCACCAGGGGCTCAACGTGTGGAGCGTCCGACTCTTGGCCGAAAGGCTCATGTCGGGATCCCAGGGCTGAAGGATTAGCCCCGTGCTCTGCTGCACCTGAGTCCTTCCCTCCCGTCTCCTCCCCCTCTGTTCTCCCCCCACTCACGCTTCTGTGAGCTCTCTCTCCCTGCCTCCCTAAAATAAGTTTTTTTAAAACGTGACCTAAAATTGTACTGCTCCGGGGCTCTCCAGGCTGCCGCCCCGCTGCTGCTGGTCAAGGCTCTGGGAGGTCTGCTTCAGCAGCAGGGTGTGGGGACGGCAGGGAGTGGCTGCAGCGGGAGATGCCTCCCCTGGGCCGTCCTCGGCCCTGGTCCTCCCTACAGCGGGAGGAGAGGCCAACGGGGAGGCTCTACTCTCCCCACTCCACACCCTCCCAGAGAAAGAGGCTGGCCCGCTCCGCCCAGAGACAGAACACAGCATGCAGGGTAGGACCCCCCCCCAGCCACCTGCCCCCCACACAGACACGGGCCGGCCAGGGCCGCAGGTGCGGCATGGGACCCAGACGTCTGCTCCCAGCATCCAGGTGGGCACTGCACCCCCCCCAGGCCTCCTGCCCGCACCCAGCACAGTACCTCTTCCCCACGTTGCTCACGGGGTCAGCCCCGCTCCTGCCAGCGGGCGTCTTCCTCCGAGACAGCTTCCGAGCACCAGCCTGCTCCTGGGGCTGCGCGTTGCCCCCACGCAGGCTGCCCCCGCCCTTGCTGTTGAGGTCCTGGAGCACGCTGTAGTTGATCTTGCTGGAGATTTTCTTCTGCTCCAACATCTTTTCGATGGCCTCCCCAGCCGTGCTGGCCTGGATGGGCTCCCGTCGCTTACAAGACTTCTTGGGCTCAACAGAAACAGGGGAGTTACCGCCCCCTGGCGACCTGCCAGGTGTCTCGGGCGAGGTGGGGGTCCTGCCAGCTGGGCCCCGAGGGGGGGGGCCGGGCAGCCAGCATCTGCTGGGGAGCCCCACCCCCAGGAGTCCAGGTGTCCAGGGCGCTGGCCCAGGCCCCCCAAGGACGGCTCCGACCTCCTCCTCTCAGAAGGGGGAGGCCAGCCCACATCCCTCAGCTGCAGAGCTGATGGCAGGGCTCAGGGTGTGAGGCCTCTCGGGAGGGGTCGCCCGCAGCGGCACTGGGAGCTGCCCACAAGCCCACCACGGACACCTGGCTGTGCTGAACACTGTCGCCACCTGAACAAGGCAGAGCGAGGGGCCGTGCTCTGGACAGATCACCCAGCGTGGGGAGACCTTGTCCTGGGTGTGTGCCACCTACAGGAGCCCGAACTGTGCCTCCTGCCAGCTCCTCCCCTGCCCGCCTGCCTGCTGACCACGCTACTAGGGGCCTCAAGCCCAGACCCCAAGCTGCAGGCCCACCCCCCGGAAAGGTTCTCAAGCAGACCAGCGACCCACGCTGGGCGCATGCCTAGCTCCTGCCTTTCTTGCTCGGGGGCTCGACCACTCCCTCACGCCAGAGTCCCTGTCCGGCCACACAGAAGCGGCAAGCCACGTCTCTGTGACGTCCGCAGGACACGTGTGACAAGCAGGCTTTCCCAGGGCCCAGAGGGGGTCCCAGAGCTGGGGCAGGGCCCTCAGTGGGGGTCCCGACGCCCCGACTCAGCCTAAGGACCTCCCCAAAGCTGAGGGTGCATCTGTCTGAGGGGAGGCCAGCACCGTGCAGGACGGGGTGGCCGGAGCCGCCGCCCTGGGAGACCTCGTGTGACTTGGGGAGGGGCAAGGCGGGTCTCCACGCGCCGAACGAGCCTCACCTTGTGCTCCTTGTAGATCCCCAGCTCCTTCTCCTTCGCGATTCTCGCCTCCTTCTCTGAAAAGCCCCCCACGGCAGGATAAGCAGAGGCCCTGCGGCCCCGGCCCCCGGGCGGGCGGGCGGGCGCTTACCCCTCTGCTCGCGCAGGTACTCGGCGTTCTCCCGCATCCACAGCTCGGCCTTCACGCGGGCTTCCGCCTCGTTCAGGATGTACTGGGCAGAGCAGAGCGCCACACTCAGGCCTCGCTGCCAACACGCCTCCCCACAGACGAGCCGGTCAAGGGCGGGCCCCTGACCCGCGGGCCACAGGCTCCTTACTGGGACCCAGTCAGCAACGCCCGTCCCCCCCAACCCCTGCTGAGGTCGGGAGTGGAGCCGGGTCCACACACCGGCCCACAGGCACAGAGTGGACGGACATGGGTTCCAGGGCCATGTGGCCGCGAGGAAGATGCCCCGCTCACGGGAGGGCCTGTGGGGAGGCAGCCTGGGGCCCCGACCGTGCAGAGTTCAGTGGAGCTCACCCTGTCAATCTCCAGGTCGTCGATGCCGCTGAGGTCCAGCTCGCCGTCCCCACGCGCTCCAGCTACGGGGAAGCACAGGGCCGCGGCGTCTGCGTCAGGTTCTGCTGAGCAAGCGCAGACGTCCCCGGGGCCATCTCAGGACCCCTTCCAGGATAGGAGCCGCCTCCTCTGGGACCTCGGCTCTGGCCAAGGGCTGACCGCAGCCCCCTCGTCGCTGGCAAGCCCAGCCCCCTCCGTGTGCCACTGCGTGACTCACAGCCCAGGGCTGCGTGCGGAAAGGACACTACACTAGCCCCAGCGGACCTCCAGGTCCACTCCCTACGACACAGGCACCTTCAGTGCGGAAGCGTGGCTCGTCTGGCTCTCTGCTCACCGGTCCAGGAGACGGGCCCTCAGCCAGTCCTCAGTGATGAACTCGGGACATCCCCAAACCCTGCTGGCCACACCCCCATCCCCCAGGGTCAACAGCACAAGCCCCAAAGCCCAGCAGTTGGGGCAGCCTCTGACCACCAGGTGGTCAGCTCAGACGCAGAGGGACAGGCAGGAAGGAGCCTGCAGCCACCACCCAACCAAGCACACGGCTCTGGCCCAGCCCTGAGCCAGGGGGCCAGCGCAGGAGGGGTCTGGGGACAGTGGCAAGCCCTGCCGGTACGCAGGGTGTCCTCACACACTGGGGTCGACGACGGCCCGCTCCGCCCGGCACGGGGGAACTGGCAGAACCCTCCCGGCCGCCCTCCGTGAGGCCACATCCGGTGGCACCTCTCCCCCCACAGATGGGACGGGGTGACCTGGACCCAGAGCCCGCGGCCACAGCCCCCACCCCACCCTCTCCCCATCCGCCCCTCCCCGGGCCTCCCCGGCACTCACTGGGCTCCTGGCTCTGGGAGGAGATGCACTCTCGGATAGAGTCTGAGATGCCCAGGCTGGCCGCTGTGGGCAGGGGGCCGAGCAGGGACTCCAGGGCCGGGGGTCGGCTGTCCCCCTCGGGGCCTCCTGCCTCCCCAGAGCTGGAGGAGACGCCGGTGCCGAGCAGCTCCTGGTAGAAGTCCTTGTTGAGGTGGCTGGCGACGGCCTGCAGCTCCTCGTCCTCGGGGTCCTCCTCGCCAAACAAGCTGGACGTGGAGTCCTCCACGGAGCCTGCGGACGCAACACCACACACCCTGAGAACCCTGCAGGAGCCACACCCCACACCCCCGCGCCGGCAGACGCGACCGTCCAGAGGCAGGAGGCACTCGCTCCACTGCGTCGAGGCGGAGCCGCGCGTCGCTGGGAGGCGGCCCCATGTCCAGGTGCCCGCGGGGAGCCCTTGGGGCCTACACACCTGACGCTGCACAGAAAGTCCCTCAAAACGGACACGGCAGCTAAGAGCACCGAAGCTTCAGGAAAGGACGACAGAAAACGCGTGCAGCTTTGAATCGGGCAAAACGTCCGGGTGGGACACGGTCAGCCAGCCCTACAGCCCCCGCAGGGACGCGGCAGACTAGGGAGCTCTGCCCTCCCGTGAGTGCGTGTCCGTAGCACGCCAGGAGCGCTCAGGGCTCCGCGCGAGGAGAACGCACGACCAACCAAGGTACACGGCGCAGCTGCGGGAAGAAGGCGGGGCGGCTTCTCCGAGGCCCGGGTCGTGCCCTGCCGCCGACCCAGCAAGTCCGCAGCTCGGTGCGCGCCCCGGTCGCGGCCACGTGCACATCTGCACGGACGCCTGCACCCCTACGTTCCCAGCACCACGTGTGCGACGACCCGAACCTAGAATCACCCCGAGAGTGCTCGACCGGCCGCTCTCCCGCACCGTGCACCGGGGCTGCACACCCGACCTGCGCCGTCCGCGGGGCGGCCGGAGGGCAGTCAAGACACGCCGCGCCGTCCGTGGACACAGAACTCCGGAAAGCACGACTGACTCCGGGGCGGGGACTCACCAAGCGGCTGCGTCTTCACGTTGCGCTTTGTCCGACGAAATTTGTGAACGTCGCCCAACACAGCGATTAACGATCAGGACGTCCGCCCCCGAACGCCTCCCCCCGCTTTCCAACGTGAGAGCTCCCGGTAAGCACGGAGCCTCCCGCGGCACCTCACATCTCTGTGACCTTTTCTGTGCGGGCAAAAGGCCGTCCGATTCCTTGTGCACAGGAAAGTCGTGCGGGGCGATGAGCCTTCCCGGCACCCCGCCGCGCCCCTACCCCAATGTCTGGGCGCCCCCGCACCCTGCACGTCCGCACTCCCGTCCCACAGGCTGGGCCTCGGGAGCACCTGCAGAGTCAGGCCTCCCCACTGGCCTCCTTGCTCCCAGCCCCTGGCCCCTTCAGCCTGAGTTAGGCCGTGTCATCCCTCAGCCCCGGCTCGGGACCTCCACAACCCGACTGTACCCCGTGTGAGCACCAGCTCCCCCACGCCGCTACAGGGCTCCCTTCCTTCCCCAGGCCTCTCCCGAAATGTTGCCTGCCTGGCCGGTCCCCTCGGCACTGCGTGGCAGCTGGAGGCTGGGCAGGGAGCCGGGGAGCTGGGCAGGAGGGTGGCACGCAGGCCTCCTGGGTCCCATCACCGCTGGATGACCCCACCTAGCTTCGGGCTCAGTCCAGACAGAGAATGAAATGTCTGCCACCCATGACGTAGGAAAGCAGACGTGGGGAGCAGGAAAGAGGGAGCGCACCCCCGTCGTTCCCGTCAGAACAGGTGTGAGAAGCTGAGCCTAGGGCAGGAGGTGAGGGGCCTGCTGGTGGCCGACGGCCGGCCGGCTTCCTCAGGGCTGGGGCAGTGCACACAGGTCTTGTGCAGGCAACGGCACAAAGAAAACCACGGGTGCAGAGCCAGGCCTCCCCGGGTGCAGAGAACCCGCCCGAGTCACAGGCGCACTGGGGATGGGCTCCGACTACTAGAGGAGAAAAGCTTCCAGCTGGGGCACCAGAGTCACACGCCGCACACACGCCCCCGTGTCAGAGCACAGCAGTCGCCACACGGGCAAGCGGACACTGGCCACCTCCGTCCTCAAGGCATCACCGGGCAGAGTGAGAACCAGAAGAGCTAGCAACGCCCTGGGGGACGCAGGGGCTCACGGGTGTCCCCATCCACAGACGACCACAAGGGGCACAGCACCAGTGACACCCCCACGCATGGGGACAGGCGTGGACGCCTGGAGCAAGACTGTAAGAGAGACGGCGCTGCCCCAGCTGCAGACCATATGCCTGTCGGGAGCCTCAGCCTCGAAGGGAAACGCGAGCAGAAGCCTGGGCAGCACGGAGCTCTAAAGAGGCCCACGGGCTCCCTGCGCACACCCCGAACACGGGCGCGAACCCCTCGGGCAGCGGCTCCGGGGGCCAGAGAGTGGGAGGGGCTGAGGGAGCAGAGCGGGGGGTCACCGACGCAATGACGGCGCAGTGCAGACGTGGCACTCGCGGGGAACCAGTAACTACTGACCAACCAGAGAGAGCCAGGGAGAGAGACAACAGCCCCGCAAGGACACGAGCAAACGCACAGACCGTGGGGCAACCCGGCCGGGGCATCCCTGGGGGAGCAGGTCGCACTGAGCCCAGGAAACCCTACGTGCTCTGCACGGGTCCCACAAATGTCGAAGCGCTCACCGATGGCCCAGACAACAACCAGCGAAAACTGTGCGTGGGCACGGCCCTCTCAGGACAAGGTAGCACCCAGTCCCAAGCCAGCACCATGTCCTGGGCGGCACCTGGGCCACTCAGCAGGGGCTGAAGGGCCAGGCCACGGCCTGGGCTTCAGGAAATGTCAGCAGGCCGGACGTTGGTGGTGAGCACAAAGCAGCGGTCTTTGCAGAAGACACGGTCACTCACACGGAAGACCCGTGGCGGAGCGCGCAGCAGCGAGGGTGGACACAGAATTCCGACCCATGAGTGCACAGAAGCTGACCTGGAAACCTGGGGCTTCCACATCTGGCAGCAGCGGAAGATGGGGAAGGACACTGCTCAGGGCAGCAGCACTAGGCAGGTGGCCTGGCCCAGAGAGCGGTTCAGGAACACCCACGGGGCGGGAGATGTCCACTCTTGGGAGTGGGTCCACGGGGCGCTGGGCTGGGGCAGGGGCTGGGGAGCAGCGGCACCCGCCCTCCAGACAGCCCGAGGCAGGGGTGGTAAGCACCAGGCCCTGCTGAAGCAGAGAGACGTACAACGGGGCCCCGCGCAGACCTTCACAACGGGGCCCCGAGGACTGGGCAGGAAGGCAACATGGGAGCGTCCAGGAGCGAAAGAAAGGGCCCGTGTGCGCGGAGACCCGTGCATGGGCACAGCAGCTCTGCAATGCCCCCTGCTATGTGGGAGCCATGACGGGGAGGAGGACACCGACGGGGAGGAGGACGCCGCAAGGCCGCTGGGACGGTACAGGCGTGGAGCCGGAGGCGGCAGGAAGGGGTTCCGGGGGCAGTGGCAGAACAGCCCGGAATTAAGATCTGGGTGCTGAGGACCAGCTTCCCCTGAAAGCTAGAACCTGGGGGCACAGAGGTCCCGGGAGCAGCTGGACACCCAGCACAGCACGTCAGGGTCAGGTGGTGTCCGGGGCGGGACCCTGTAAAGGGGGGCCCTGCGGTCCTGGACGGGGCAGCAGCAGACAGGGCCAGAGGCTGGCCAGCAGGGAGTGCCTGGTGTGGGTGACGTGAGCAGGGCTGGCCCTGCAGGCCGTGGGGGACGCGGCTGCGCTCACCGTCTCTGGTCAGGCTGGCGAGGGCCCCCTTGGCCTTGGGCCGGCTATTCTCCAGCTCGCTCTCGATGGCGTCCTGATAGCTGGAGATCTCACCTGGAGGGGCGACCGCGCACACTGAGCTCAAGCCCACTGCTCTAGGGGCCGGAGGCACCTGTCGCGGTGAGGCGGGCGGGTTACCTTCCACGTCCTCCAGTTTCTTGGACAGGACTTGTTCGAGCTGAAACAACAGTGGGGACGAGGGGGCCGTGTGCGGGAGCGGTGAGCTTCATGGTGCTCGGGTCCCCAGCCCCCCAGACACGTGCCGACTCCCGCACCGAAGGAACCGGACTGCGCTGAGAGCGCCCAGGGCAGAGCTGGGGCTGACCCTGATGGCTGTGGAGAAGATGTGGGGGCCATCGAGGGACCTGGCACCCCACGTCCCACGCTGCCAGGGCTCAGCCCCTAACTCCACCTGTCTGCCCACCTCTCCCTGCATGCCGTGGGGACACAGACCCAACCTGGCCCATTTCGAAGTAAGAACAGGACACAGGACACGGTAACACCGCGAGATGCCGGCGTGCTGCGCGGCCCAGGCACGGCCCAGCACGGCCCAGGCACAGCCCAGCACGGCCCAGCACGGCCCAGCACGGCCCACCAGCGCGGAGCACTCACCTGCTTCATGCGTAGCTTCTGCTGCCCGGCGGTGTACGAGGGGGGGTCGCACTCCCCCTCCAGGTCGATCTTCATGAACTCGTCCACGGTGAGCTGGCTCGTTGGCGTGTCTTCAAACTCCGTCAGCCTGCGACAGGAATGCCCCTGGAGAGAGCCGCCTGGCGCCCCGGCCATGCTCGGCTACGATCCCTCCTCGCCGCGGCCAACAGCGGGGCCCCGGGGAGGAAAGGCCACGCACGCTGGCCGCTCCCACGGGGAGACTCAGAGAAGGCCCAGACGCAAGGAGGCCAAGCCGGCAGCCCCAGGGAGTCGCCAGCTAGAGCTTACCCACGCCTCCTACGACCCGCGAGACGTCCAAAAATAAACAACTTTTTCTCAACAAAACACTTCCAAAGAGAACCAGACATCAGACGTGCAAAATACTTTACCTGCTTCAGAAAGTGCCACAGGCTACGATCTCAGACGAGAAACACCTCGCATGTGGCACATTCACAGTGAAAACGGCCACGACGACAGGGGCCGGTGATCGGGCTCCCGACAACCCCGTCCAGCCCACCCGCGGCCGACGCTGCCGCTGAGCTCGGCCACCCCACAAACACCGCAGCCCAAAGTGGGGGCTTGTGGACACCCGGGCTTCCTAGGGGGGCTCTCAGTGCACCAACCTACCTTGGGGTGTGGGCAGAAGGGCCACTGCAGGCGCAGCTGGTGGGGGCCAGGAAGACAGACCAAGACCCTGGAGGGAGGCGGGCAGCCCCTCGAGGACCCGGGCCGTCCTGGGTCCCGGCCAGACCAGCGGACGGCAGGACCGCAGAGGTAGGTGTGGTCAGCACACAGAGCAGGTGCCTGAACCCCAGGCCACGACCGAGAGCCACCTACCTCTTGCGCAGTGTGGACTCACACACCTTGACCACGCTGATGACCTCTTTGACGGTTCTCCGGAAATCGTGCATCCTGGCCGCAACCAGAAGTGCTGGAAAGAAGCACGACGGGGCAAGGGACGGGGGAGGTCAGGCCTCGGGACGGGTCAGGGTGGTGACCTCGGCGGTGCAAGGCCTGCCCGGGAGGCCTGTGGGGGCTCACGGCGGCTGACCGTCGCCCAGTGCTCATGACGGTCCCACACCCGAGAGCCACAGGCTGCTTTGCGCGCAACTGCGCCACAGCGGGGAATCAGAAAGTGCGTCGTCGCGCCTTCCGTCTCAGACACAGAACGAAACGCACCTCCTGAGAACCTCGTGTGACCCCTCAAAGCTGGTGAGCGAACTCTGAGGTGACTCTCAACCAGCACCCGTTGGCAACAGAGGTAAGGATTCCGGGAACACGGCCCAGGTTGGGGAGAGAAGGGAGTGGCCCCGTGAGGCGGCCACAGCCAGGCAGACTGGGAGAGGCCCAGAGTGGGCCACGTGCCGCGGAGCACGGGAACGCAGGTTCTCGGCATCCCAGGAAGGACCGGAGCCAGGGGCGGGGGGGTGGGGGTGTCCTGGAGTAAAGGCCACCAGACAGGCGTAAAGGCCTGCTAGGGAGGACTCCAGGCCCAAGGGCTACGTCAGACCCCAAGGCGTCAGGGACAGAGCTAGAGAACACAGAGGAAGACCGAATAGCTACCCTTCGGGGGGCCAAGGAGCCAGCCCAAAAGGCCGGGGATCATCAACAGTAGTGACTTGGCACTAGGGACAGGGCTGGCCTCGTGGGAGCCCTCGAGGAACAGGATAGCTCTGGAGACAGTACCCCCACAACCAGCAGAGCCTGGCCCTCCTGACCCCGGGCCTCCTGACCCCAGGCCATCCTACCCGCCCCGCAGAGACCCGAGGGTGCCTGGGCCTCCTGATCCCGGGCCTCCAGAGCCCGGCTGTCCCATTTGCGCCACAAAGACCCAAGGGGACCTGGCTCTCCTGACCCCAGGCCATGCTACCAGCCCCACAGAGACCCGAGGGAGCCTGGGCTATCCTACCCGCCCCACAGAGATCCGAGGGGACCTGTCCTGCTGACCCCATGCTGTCCTACCCACCCGACGGAGACCCGAGAGGACCTGGTTCTCCTGACCCCAGGCCTCCTGACCCCAGGCCATCCTACCTGCCCCGCAGAGGCCCGAGGGGCGCCGGCCAGTATGCATCCAGTCTCTCTTCATCCGCTGCAGGAGCCTCAGGGCTGTCATGGACACCTCGTGATTCTTCTCCCCAAACTCCAGCAGGTGAGCAAAGCGCGGGATGTACAGGCACGGATCTGCCGCAGACGTGGGCGCCTCAGTGCCACCCAGGGTGCGTCCCCTCCCTCCCAGGCCCCGTGGAACATGTGTGTTCCAGCTCTGGGTGGCGCACAAACACCACCCAGCAGGATACCCGTCCTTGGGGTGACCCTCCTGCTCCTCCAACTGCACGGCTTCCCCAACCCTTGGTGGGGGCTGGTGGCCCCCGTCCCTCCCACAGCAGCTGCAGGGGTCGGGCGCTAAGCCTGCACGGGCACCCGCGTGCTCGTGGGCACACGCGACACCTTGCTGCTGTGTCTGGCACCTGACGGGTCGTGACTGGGACAGAGCCTGCCTGCCCCCGACTCGCCAGCTGAGTTCACCATGCGAAACTCAAGCCGCGGCTTCTCCCTGCCGTCTGCAGGTGCGTGGGCAGCTCTTCAAGTGACCGTACTTCTCCGCGCAGCGGAAAGCTCCAGAGGGACCCGTGCACACATGCACGCACACACACACTCTCCCTCCCTGGGAGGGAGCTGATCGAATTATGTGGGGCCGCTGGAACATCAGGGGCCGGCCTTGCTCTGGACGGGATCGTCGGGAAGTCCTTGCTGAGGCCTGAAGAGGGAGCTCCCTGAGGGGCCACAGGCCAGCCAGAAAGCAGGCGTGGGGGCAGATGGTGACCGCCAGGACCCTGCTGTCCACCAACATCAAGCACCCTCCTTCGGGGGGCCAGTCAGTCCACATCCACGAGGGGCCACTGAGCTCCGGCCCCTGGAAGCCCCATGTGGGCTGGCACCGCCAGTGCTCCGTAGCCGGGCGGCGGCCAGGAGCGCCTGGAGACACCGCGGACAGGGAGCCCTCCCAGGATGCTCTGCCTCAGGCGCCCCAAGTGCAGACGGGCCACAGAGAGACGAGCTCCGCGGGAGCCTCTAAACAGCGACCTTCAAGGACAACCTGTCCGGGAAGCTGCAAACTCAAAGGTTCAGCAGACCAGCAAGGACCAGGGTGCCAGGGAGGGCACTCCCTCCGCTAGGGGCCTGACTTGGGCTCAGGTCACGATCCTCCCCCACCTTCGGGCTCCTTCTCTGCCCCCGCCTGGGGTGAAGGTGGAACCCGCGAGACCGCACTGTAGGCGGAGCGCGGCGAGCCCACGGGGATTCAGGGAAGGTCCAGCCGGGGCGCCCAGCAGCCCCCCAGGAGCGATCGGCCGGGCGACAGGGCCCCCGGGGGACGAGAGCAGTCCCGGAGACCACGGCAGCGCGCGCACACGAGCGGCACGACTAGGCGCGCGCACCCCCGCCTCCCAAGAGGGCTCCCGAGGGCCCCCCCCCACCGCACCGAAACTCACGCGCGTCCGCGCGCAGCCAGCGGAGGCGGCGACAGCCGGGGGGGGGGGGGGGGGGCGAGGGGGGCGGGGACGCGCACGTCGTCCACGCGAGGGAAGGGGCGGGGCGGCGCGAGCCGCGAGCGCGCACGTGGTCCGCGCGGCGGAGAGGCGTGACGCGGACTGACGCGCAGGCGCCGGGGGGCAGGGCGAGGGCGGCCGGGACGGCGCCCCCTGCGGCGGGGCTGCGGGCTGCGGGCTGCGGGCTGCGCGCCGGCGGGCGGGCGAGCGGGGCGGCCCCATGCTGCTGCCCCTAGCCTGCCTGCACGGCCGGGTGGCGCAGTGCCTCACGGCGCTCCTGGTGCTCGCGGAGCCGCCCCCCCGGCCCCGGCGCGGCGCTCGGGCGCTCGGTCCCCCGCCGGCGCGCACGGAGGCCTCCCTGCCCGCGAAGATGGCCGCGGAGCTGTACCCGGCCGCCGGCGCCGCGGCCGCCACCGCCACGGACATCGCCAACAGCAACGCCGCCGCCGCCGCCGCGGGCAGGAAGGGCCCGCCCTGCGCCCCGCCGCCCGCCCCGCCTCCGCCCGCGCCCGCGCCGCCCGCGCCCGACAACAACAACTTGGAGAGCCCCAGCTGGCAGTCGGTGCACCCGACCCTGCGCGAGCGGTGAGCCGGGCCGCGCCCCGCCCCGGCCTGACCTGACCCCCGCGCTCCGCCCCGGCCCGACCTGATCCCCGCGCCCCCGCCCCGGCCTGACCCCCGCCCGTCTGCCCTTTGCAGGAATGCGCTCATGTTCAACAACGAGCTCATGGCCGACGTGCACTTCGTCGTGGGACCCCCGGGAGCGGCCCGCAGGGTGCCCGCCCACAAGGTGAAGGCTCGTCCGGCCCTTCCCGGGGCGCCCTCCCCAGCCCGGGGGGGAGGGGGGCGTTCGCGGCTTCCACGCCTCCGCCGGGGGCGGGGCGCGGCGCGGCGCGGCTCAGGGCAGCTCCCGTGTCCTCCGCAGTATGTCCTGGCCGTGGGCAGCTCCGTCTTCTATGCCATGTTCTACGGCGACTTGGCCGAAGTCAAGTCGGAAATCCACATCCCCGACGTGGAGCCCGCGGCCTTCCTCATCTTGCTCAAGTAAGCGCGCCGCCCGGGGCACAGGGAGGGGCGGGCGCTGGTGCCCGCGGCCGTGGGGTGCTCCCGCTGCCCTGGGCCAGGCCCCAGCGGCTGGCCACCCTGAGCAGCCTGTGACGCAGCCCGCGCCCCCCGCCCAGGTACATGTACAGCGACGAGATTGACCTGGAAGCCGACACGGTGCTGGCCACCCTCTACGCTGCCAAGAAGTACATCGTCCCCGCTCTAGCGAAAGCCTGTGTCCACTTCCTGGAGACGAGTCTGGAAGCCAAAAACGCCTGCGTCCTGCTGTCGCAGAGCCGGCTGTTTGAGGAGCCGGAGCTGACCCAGCGCTGCTGGGAGGTCATCGACGCGCAGGCCGAGATGGCTCTGCGGTCTGAAGGCTTCTGTGAGATCGACTGGCAGACGCTGGAAATCATCGTGACGCGGGAGGCCCTCAACGCCAAGGAGGCGGTGGTCTTCGAGGCCGTGCTCAACTGGGCAGAGGCAGAGTGCAGGAGACAGGGCTTGCCGGTCACCGCGCGCAACAAGAGGCACGTTTTGGGGCCCGCCCTCTACCTGGTCCGAATCCCCACCATGAGCCTGGAGGAGTTTGCCAACGGCGCTGCCCAGTCGGACGTGCTGACCCTGGAGGAGACCCACAGCATCTTCCTGTGGTACACGGCGGCCAACAAGCCCCCACTCAGCTTCCCCCTGACCAAGAGGAAGGGCCTGGCCCCGCAGCGCTGCCACCGCTTCCAGTCGTCGGCCTACCGTAGCAACCAGTGGCGCTACCGCGGGCGCTGCGACAGCATCCAGTTCGCAGCGGACAGGAGGGTGTTCGTGGCAGGGCTGGGCCTGTACGGCTCCAGCGCCGGGAAAGCTGAGTACAGCGTCAAGATCGAACTCAAGCGGCTGGGGCTGGTGCTGGCGCAGAAGCGGACCAGGTTCGTGTCGGACGGCTCCAGCAGCACCTTCCCGGTGTGGTTCGAGCACCCCGTGCAGGTGGAGCAGGACACCTTCTACACGGCCAGCGCCGTCCTGGACGGCAGCGAGCTCAGCTACTTCGGGCAGGAAGGCATGACGGAAGTACAGTGCGGCAAGGTGACCTTCCAGTTCCAGTGCTCCTCGGACAGCACCAACGGGACCGGGGTGCAGGGTGGGCAGATCCCCGAGCTCATCTTCTACGCCTGAGGGGTCGAGGGGCGGCGTGGCCGTGCTAGGTCGGGCACCAGAAGGAGGCCTCTCTCTGCGGCCGGCCCTGCCGGGAAGGGACGTGCAGGGGACGGGGCGACCCCATTGTCCCCCGCCAGCTGCCTTACTGACATCATTAAAGGCTTCGCTTCTTTCTCTCTCTCTTGTCCGTGGTCGGCGGCGGCCCAGAGCGGGAGCCAGAGGCTCTCCCGCACGCCGAGGGCCAGGGGTTCCGAGTTCTGGCTGCTGGGCGGACCCGGGGGCACAAGGCAGGCTTCGTACAGGCCCCCCCCAGGGCCCACACCGCCTGCTTTGTGGGCTCTGCCATCCCTCCCGCCCCTGCGAGTTCGCGGCCGTACCACGCTTAACCTGAAACCTTCCCTTCAAACCAAAATTGGGAAAAGTCACCTAAAACTCCACGTCTAACTGCGTTTCCATAACATGGTTTCCACGAAACAAGAGCCACCAAGAAGGAAGCGAACGAGGGACTGGGAAGCGGAGACACACTTTCCCGCACGCCTGTGAACGGTGTGTCCCTTCCAGCCCACAGAGAAGCCTCCACAGCTCAGCCGTGCTTCCTAGTTCCAAACAACCTGCCTCCCGGGGGCCGCCTGTCCCTGCGTGTGTTTGTCAGCTTCCGCGGTGGGGCCGGCTTGGAATGCTCTGGAAGAGGCCGGCTGTCTGCTTCCACCCCTGAGGCCCCCCAGCCTCGGACAAAGCCGTACTGGATATGAGGGTGGTGGAGCGCGGTGGGGCTCTCTGCCGGCCCCGTGCAGGCAGGCTTCGGGGTAAGACAGGCTCTCTGGGCCCTTGGCCTCTGTCCTCCCAGGCTGCACACGCTCCGTGGACAGTTTCTGAAAAACCTCAGCTTGACCCCCAGAGGGCGGGGCCGTGTCACTCGGCATAAGGACGTGGCCTCTTGGAAGGGGGTCTAGCCGGGCCTAGCTAAGCAGCTGCGTCCCTCTCCTGACCCACGCCGCCAGACCCTGGCTTCCCAGCCCCAGGGGACCACCCTGCACCCCCCCGCCCACCCCCCACCCAGCTGCACTCTGTTCCTTGAGATCCACGTGTAGAGGATGGCGGGTGGCACGGGGAGAGGTCCCCACTGGCGACTGACAACACTCCTCTCGGGAAAGCCCCCACTCCATCCATCGGGGTCCAGCCTGCCCCAGACAGTGGACAGATGGGGCCTGTTTCCCTCTGTGGCCTCCCCGACACCTGCCAGGGACTGACCATGGGCGCGCTGCGTTCAAGCCAGAGGGAACCCCCGAGCTGTCGGGCTCTCGGCTCCCTCTCAGATCCCCCTTACTGCCTGCTGGAGCTCCCGTCCCTGCACTCCGAGCTCCAGCCCTGCTGCGGCCCCTGCCAGCCCCGCCGTACCTATTGCCGGTGCGTTGATGCACAGCTCCCTGGCCAGGAGGAGGAAGGTCTTCCCCAGCACATACACGTTCACCTGTGGGGAAGAGGCCACAACTGAGGAGGGCATCGGGGTTTCTGAAACGTTTGCTCGGTTCCCTACAACACGCGTTTCACATTCAGTCCGACAGGTCCCACGTCAGAGCTCCTGGTGCTCCTGCCTGCCCCCGTCCCCACGCCCACCCTGCTTCCCGACCCCAGACAACGTCTCCAGACCCTACCCCCGTCTCCGCAGTGACTGCATTTGCTAAGAGAAACCGCTGAGAGCGGTGTGCACGCCCGGAGTTCACTGTGTGATTCACGTCAGTATGCACCCCTGCATGCCCCTGCGGGCCGTGGCCTCAGCCCCTCGCTGGGATCCTTGTCTGTGTCCCTGTGGGCCCGCTCCGTCCTGGCCGTGGCTCTCTTCAGGTCTCAGGGGCTGCCCCTGCCCCAGCTGCTCCCGTCAAGCCCAAAGCTGCTGTGGAGTCCACCGCCCCGCCAGGTTCCTGGCAGGTGGACACGGGGTCTAGGATTCCGGGGTGCGGACCAGCAGCATGGCCAGCCTGGGGTTTCACGCAGTCCCAGGCCGCATGAAGGCCTGGCGGGGGGCCTGTGGGTAAGGGGCTTCTGAGCCGTGTGTGAAGGCAGGCATGGGAGAAGCTGTTCCGTGTGGATGAGGTGCACAGTTGGGAAAAGCCTGGGCTTAGCCCCTTCAGCCCAAGCTGGAGAGAGGCCTGGCCCCTGCCCCTGCCCCTTAGCCTCGTGCCCAGGGAGCTACCAGAAAAGACCAGGAAGAAGAGTCAAGAGCGCCCGTCAGGGGCTCCCAGGCAGCACAGACTGGTGCCTCTGGCCATCCCAGGTCCTCTGGAGAAGATGGAGGGGTGGGGGCGCTGCACTTCACACCCAGGCCGCCTGCTCCAAGCCCCCTTCACAGGGCTGGTGGCCCCCAGAGCTTGCCTTCTGAAAGGAGTCTGCCCCGGCCTGCCCACCAGGGTGCACGCGCAGTGAGCGTGTCGGTGCGCGCGCGTGTGGAAGCGTCTCCTAGCGGCACCCCGAGCTCCTGCACCCTCCTAGCCTCAAGCCCCTTGGGACCAGGGTGGCACTCACCTGCCCCTCCCCACTGCAGCAGAACCACCCTGACCCACCGTCCCCTTCCCATCTCCCACCTCCCTGACCCTGGCCCAGGCAGACGGAGACCTGGATGAGAAGGGCTTTCTGCAAAGTCAAACGTTTGCAAGGCCGCGCTTGGACAGCGCACGGGGTCGCTGCCGGAGACGCTGACGGTCTTCGGCAGGTGTTAGAAACAGTGACACGGACACTGAGGACCCCTCCCTGGGTTTATGGCTCGTCTCCGTGGAGGCGGCTGGTCACGGCTGGCTGTGGCTGGCCGGTCTTCCCGCTCCTGTCCACCGGGCAGATGGGCTCTGCACGAAGACAGCCGAGTGCCCCTGTGCCAGCCACAAGTTCATGGGGGGTCGGACCCCCCCAGTTCCCCCTGGGAGTGCTCAGTGGGAACTGAACTCTGAGCCTGTGTCAGCCCTTGGGAGCCCCACAGCAGCCTCCCTCCGACCTTGCTGGAGAGCCCAGGAAGGGGCGCGGCGCGAGGAGTGCTGGGCTCCCCCGTTCCAACAGGTCGCAGACCACTTCAGCAGGACTCCCAAGAGATGCCGTGTACACACGCACACGGGCAGCCTCTGCTTACGCAGAAGGCAAGCTCCGTCAGCGCCGAGGGCCCTGTGGCGTGTGGGGCACCCCCACCTGACCAAGCCTTCCTCAAAGGCATGGGATCTCTGTGGGACCCACACACACTCTCACACGGTGATCACATCTGTTTTCTGTGCCCCCTGCTCTTTCTGAGCCCTCTGTGGAGTGATCCCCCCACCTGCCCCAGCGCTGTCCCCAGGGACAGGATGCAGAACCTCGATGACCCCGCCCCCGTGACTGTCCCATCCGCACAGGTGGCCCCATGCTAGGTCCTTCTATCCTCTTCAGTGGTTCGGAAACAAGGGAAGCAACGGAAAATGCTTTCCTGGTACCCACACAGGGTCCCTAAGTAGACTATGCTGTGGGCTTTTATATTGCTGAAGAAACATGCGTTTCAGGGCTTTTTCTGTTAGAGCATTTCCTTCCCTCTGACCACGTTCTCCAGGGTCTTTCCACTGCTTCTGAGGCCAAGGCCGCCCGGCCCCCAGGACAGCACGGTGACCCCATGTTTACTGGCCCCCACCCAGTGTGTCCTCTGTTCTGAGGACTGGTCTCCAGGCTGTGGGGTGCAGCCCCCGCCCCCCGTGGGAAAGAGGCTCAGGAGGGAAGCCGGGATACCTGGAGCAGGTCGCTGAGGTCGAGGAGCATGTCTGTGGTGGGAGTCAAGGAACGTCTGCACCCGAGCCCCCGGGCTCCAGGACCCAACCGCTTCCCAAGACGCAGACCCAGCCCCCGGCCACAGCACCTCGTTGTGAATCCAGGCTCAGCGCTGGGTCTCCCTGGACGGGTGAGGGGCCGGCGGCAGGCGACCAGAGCCTGGGAACCACACCCCGGGGCCAATGAAGTTGCCCTTCGCAGAGCACCCCTGCCCCCCATGGACACAGCCCAGGAGCCCAGGACACTCACTCCATCCCTCGGTAGCTACGGAGAGCCTACCAGGCGCTGCACGGGGCCGACACGTGGCTCCTGGGGGACAGACACGTAGCTAGTCCCCTTTGGTGGCTGGTGGCACCTCCATGGTGCTGGTGTTTGAGGGGACAGCTGTGGGGACTCCGGCATGGGACCTGTCCTCACTCTTCAGCAGATGATTAAAGACTAACCAGATCATGTCCCCCGTGACCTGGAACCCAGGGGGACACACACAGAACACAGGACGCCAGCTGCCGGGGAAGGCACCCAGTCAAGTGTGCTGAAATGTCTCATCACTCACGGGTCTGCTGCGGCTTTGAGAGGGTAACGGAGACAGATCAGAGCCAGACCACGTGTCGGGAGGGAGACCCCGGGCCCACGCACAGAGGAAGAAAGAGGCCCCGATGCCACGGCCCCACGAGGTCCCGGACACCCCACCACCACCTCCAGGGCCTGGACTGAGGGGCAGGCTTGCTTCTCGCCGTCTCTGAAGGCGTGTCTTCGGGCAGTAGGGTCACCACCAGATGACAGGGTGCCGGTACGGACCGGCTGTTGGGACCACGTGCAGAGAGAAGAGCCAGCCGGGGAGTCACAGGAGCCGACCCGCAGGAGCGAGCGGGAACCCGCGGTGCCAGGACAGATGCTCAAGACGCAGCAAGCCCGGAGGCAGAGCTCCAGGGACGGTCGACGTGTCGGGGCTACCGGGGGTTGGGTCGGGGTGGGGTGGGGCCCAGGGATGGAGAGGGGAGTACAGGGGACCCTCGAGGCAGTAAGGCCTCCACATGATGTCACGGGCATGGGTGCGACAGGACAGGCACAGCGCGCCGACATGGGTGTGGGCCGGGACGCGGTGTGCGTGGGTCGGGGGACGTGGGGAAGGCCGCACCAGTCTTGCCTCTAACCTGGAACTGCTCTAAAACATGAAGTCTGTTCACACGATTATCATAAAATAAAGGCCAAGTGACAGCTGAAAGTCCGAACAGACACGTGGAGGAGAAGCACGGAGCTCACAAGCACGTGGGAACAACTCGCCTTTGGGAGCTACCCTGGAAACGCAGACAAAATGCCCCCCACAGCTCCCAACGCTGCCAGGGGCGGAGGCCGCCCCAACCCATGCACCTGCTGGCTGGGCCGCCATGGAACCGAGGCCACAGCTTCCTGTCGCACTGACCACGCACCCGCCTCTGACCAGCTACTCCACACCCAGGGACGTACCCTCGGACATGCAGGCTGCGTCCACACGCGAGCCTCACACAAACAGCCAGAGGGCCAGCCTGCAGCTCCCTCCCATGCCCAGGACAGACTGTGGAGTCGGACGGACCTGTGGACACAACCGGAGCGCAGAGACGGACAGAGTCACGGAGAAGGACAGACCCACAGAGACAGACAGACCACAGAGACGGACGGACCCACAGAGATGGACGGACCCGTGGAGATAGATGGACCACAGAGACAGACAGACCCGTGGAGACAGATAGACCGCAGAGACGGACGGACCCGTGGAGACGGACAGAGCGCGGAGACTGACGGACCCGTGGAGACGGACAGATCGCGGAGACTGACGGACCCGTGGAGACGGACAGAGCGCGGAGACTGACGGACCCGTGGAGACGGACAGATCGCGGAGACCGACGGACCCGTGGAGACGGACGGACCCACGGAGACGGACAGATCGCGGAGACCGACGGACCCGTGGAGACGGACGGACCCACGGAGAGGTATGGACCGCGAGCTGCGGCTGTTTCCCAGGCGACACGGCAAGGGCCCTGCGTCAGCAGTCACACAGCATCACCGCAGGGGCACCGGGAGGAAGCCGCGATCGTCACTGACGGGAAGACTCGGCGCTGCTCACAGCAATGGCACTTTCAACCCCCCACAAATGGGTCCATAAACCCAATCCAAACATCCTGCACGGTTTCTCAGAGGATTCGGCAATCTGGTTCAAAAGCTTCCCGAGAAGAACAGGGGGCCGGGGATGGCACGGACCCCCAAGGAGGGGGCACCTGGGAGAGCAGCAAAGCCCACCCCTCGGAAACCCCAATTCTGAGGGAACCTGTACAACTAAAAGCTTCTGGAAGGGACCCCACAAGAGCGTTTCTACGAGCAGGGCAGAAAAACAAGTGCGCACACGCACCGTAAAGGACCAGACGCAAAGGTGGCCCTCGGCTAGAGTTCAGCCCCAGGAAGGGCCCACCATGATGGCCACAGCTGGCGGGGAGGCTACTCGCCGCACAGACACCTGGCCCGGACCTCAACCCCAGACACAGCCACACACTCCGGTCAGGGCAGGACGGACATGCTGGCCAGCAGCCCCCAGGGGCCAGAAGCCCCCAGTCGGCCAACACATCAGTGCGTGGTCTTTGAGTCTGCAACTTCCTGGGGCCCGGTGACACCGGCCACCCCTGACGTGTGCCAGCCTGGAGCAGGAGGGCTGCAGGCAGTGGTGTGCTGGGCGTATCTGTTGCTCCCACTCAGGCCCCCAGGGGTGGTGACCAGTCACAGGTGACAGTGGCCTCCCCGCACACACAGCTTCCAAGCTCAGGCCTACTGGCAGCTCGGCAGGACCCCGTGAACGCCACAGGCTCCAGTGGCAGCTGTGACAGCGAGAACCCTCCCGCGGGTGCACGTGGACCCACCTGGCAACGACAGGGCTGTGTGGCTGCCCCCTGATGCTTCTGTCCAGGGATAGCGGGCTAGACAGCAAGACCCTTCTGGGCCTGGCTCCTGTCCAGCTGCCCCTTCGGGTGGCAGTGAGTGCTGCTGTGGGCACCGTGGCCCAGTGTGTCTGAGGACACTTCTTAGGAGGCCGAGGGGAAACTCTGCCGTAGTAAGAAAGGGTCCCCCACAGGGGCCGTGCCCTCTCCCTCCCGCCGTAGCGTACAAGGCACAGCACTGCTCCTCCCGTGGCCAGCGAGCTGGGCGGCTTGTCTACAACTACTTCTCCCACGGGAGCATCTGCTCTGAGCCCCCACTCTCCGGCCAGATTCCAGAGCCTGGCCTGCACTGCGTCCAGCTCCCCGGCACTCCTGGGGACTCGGGCAGCGCCAGCCCAGCCTTGAGCTCTGTGCACCCGCTCAGGGACATCAGCACCACACACAGGTTTTGGGGGGAACAGAGCACAACAGAGGCCAGGCAGGTGCATCGGGTAGCATCCGGCGGATGCGGTGACAGGAACCCGAAGCCCACGTCCACTTCCAGCATTCACCTGCGTCACGTACTCCGTGCTCAAATCCCAGGTTTCCAAAATCTTACATTTTAATGAGAGATTCTCGTACGGAGGACTGCCCAACCGGAAGGGCAGCCAACACGTCTAGCCACGCACCCTGCTTCCAGGACCCTTCCAGTGGCTCACACGTACCTACAAGAGCCACGGCCAGTGAGGACAGCCTGTGAGGGGGACACAGATGCCGCGAGAGGCACCCAGAGGGTGGCTGCGGCCCCAAGAGCAGCACGGGCATCGTGTCCCCAGAACAGGACACCACCAAGAGGCAGCGCTCAGAGGACACAGAGCTCCTCCGGGTCCAAGTGCGGGAGCAGAAATGAAGACGTGATGGGAGACAGACTGCCCCGCCGTGAAAGGGAAGTGGGAGCGAGGAGAAAGTACACACGAGAAGGCAACTGGCGGCCGCGCTGTGAGCCAGAGTGACGCGCAGGGAGGAAACATGAGCAGCTCGAGAGGCCCTGGCTGGGACTCTGGGTCCACAGCTTGGAGAGCAAGGGCCTCCAGGGAACAGCACAGTCACCACAGACGCAGGCCCAAGGGTCAGGGCACCCAGCTGCTCAACAGAGGAGTGGGCACCACTGTCCACATCCTGGAAACCAGTGCAGCCTGGGGCCCACCGGCCCAGCCCCAAGAGCACAGGCGGAAGGGAGACCACCTGCAGGAAACCACTGGAGGCCGTGCTGTGCAGAACAAGGACATGGGGCCAGGAGCAGGGGTCCCGTGTCAGAGAGGTGAATGGAACCCAGGGGACGGCAGAAAACAGAGCAGGTGCAGAGGGAGAGTAGCCCAGGCGAAGGGCGAAAAAGCCCCAAAGGCTCTCCCAGGGGGGCGCACGGGACGGCCTGCCAGTTCCGTGCAAGAGGGCCAGCAGCCCAACCGCAACGGGGGAACAGATCCCCATGCTCTCCAAGAAGGGCTGGCGGACGGTGGTGGGGGCAGGAGGACGGCAGGACAGCGGCCAGTCTCAGAGTGCATCCTGCCCTCCCCAATGGCCACGGGGGCCGGGCGCCCGGCTGCCCCGTTCCCAGCTGGTGAGAGGCCACGGCATCCATCGCGACAGTCCGTCCCCAGGGCCAGAAGGGAACACGGACAGCGGGTCACGGCCGCGACTGAGCCCAGTCGGGGAGACCCGCGCAGAGCCGTCCCACACAAGGAGCCCGAGGAAAAGGATACGCGGGGTACCCTCGGTGCGGCACACCAGGTAGAGGCAGGCCGCGATCACGTGTGCCATCCTGCGGCCGCGGGTCAAGTGCTTGCTCACGGCCATCTTGAAGAAGTTGAAGGCTGTGTCCAGGCAGTGCTGGTTGAGCTGCAGCTGGCTCCCCAGGTGGTGGATCTGGCGTCTCCCTAGGACACAACACGAGACGTTACCACTGGCTCCCAGCACCAGAGACGCACGCCGGCCCGCGCCCTTCTGCAGCGTCGGGTCCACTTCTCGTGGGGCCCAAGCCTCGTGTGCGGGCACAGGGGCCCATGACTTCCACTCCCTCCTCACCCCGGCGGCTCCGGGGCCGGCAGAGAGCCGCGTGTCGGCCAGCCAGGAGCCACTCCTTGCCACTGAGTATCGCCACGTGCTCCACACAGACGTGGCCTCCTGACAGGGACGGACGACATGGCCGGACGGCCACGGCCCCACAGCTGAGTGCCTGCTCCTGCTCCAGCACCCGGGAGCTTGGGTCGTGGCCCCTAGCCCTCCAAGCAGGGCCCTGCGTGCGTCCTGGCCAGCAGCTCCCATGCCAACCCCCACCCCAAGAGCTGCGGCTCCAGCCCTCTGGGGCCCCAAGGGCGGGGACAGCACTGGGCAGATTCAAGGTGGGAAGGGGCTGCTGGGACATGAGTGGACTGCGGGACTTGATGTGCACACGCCCGGTCCTGGGTAAGCACATCCCAGAAGCTGGGAGAGGGGGGGACACAGACGTCCTGTGTGTGTGGACAGGAGGGTCGCCGCAGGCCATGTGCCAAACGGCACAGAACCAGGAAGCCAGACACCCACGTCAGAGCACAGCAAGAGCTGCACTGTAAGCACCCGTCCGCACCCCTCTCCCAGCTACCACACTGGACCCCGGCATACAGACTCCCCACCCCACCTGGCACCCTCTCGCTCCCCAGATCCATGCTCTCCGGGCAAAGGCCCCCCTGAGCTGGGCCAGGGAAAGCAGCCAGGGACTCGTGTCACCCACAGAAGGCTGGTGCCCTCTGACAAGGACAGCAGGCTGGGGAAGGCGGGGGCTGTGGGCTTTCTCAGCTCCCTCGGCCCGGCCTGCCCGCCCCACGCACACGGCGAACAGCGCCCGCCAGCCACAGGTGGGCACCTGGGGAGCCAGCGCCCCAAGGGACCGGCAGCCGGGGGACCGCATGGTCAGCACCCCTCCCGGCAGAGCACCCTGTCCAGCCTGGAGGCCTGTAGTCGGCTGAACCGGCACGGGCGGGGGTCACCGTCCCTAGGGCCACGGCCCTGACTGGACAGAAGGGGCCTAGCACAGGCTCCCCACTGGCCTGGGAGTTCTTGGGACAAAGGGGGCTCCCTGGTGGCCTGGGGCCTCGGAAGTACTGCAGTAGGTTGCCTGGTACCGTCTCCGTCGCATACAGTCCACACTGTTAAAACCGGCCACTTTGGGTACACGCCTCAGTAATTTTAGGGGCGCCTGGGGGGCTCAGCCGGTTGAGCGTCTGCCTTCAGCTCAGGTCATGATCCCGGGGTCCTGGGGTGGAGGCCCGTGTCAGGCTCCCTGCTGGGCAGTCGGCCCCCCCCCCGCTGCTCCCCTGCTTGTGCGCAAGTGTCCGCACCCTCTACCTCTAAAGCAGAATCTTTAAAAGAGCGGATTTTGCATATTCGCCACGATTCAGACTATCTCGTCACCCCGAAAGAGACCCCGTCCCGTCAGCAGTCCCCCGCCCCGCCAGCCACCCCCCGGGTGAGAGTCCGCTGTGTGGGGTCAGCAAGCCCAGCAGGCAAACTGGAGAGTCGCGGGACGCGGGCGTGCACTTCTGGGCGAGCAACGATGTTAACGCGTAGAAACTCCTGCAAGACCGGTGGCCGACTGACCGGCCGCGCCCGTCCTCCCGACTGACCGGCCGCGCCCGTCCTCCCCAGGCTCCTCCCCACACGGGAACACTACAAGCAAGCACGCTAGCACACAGCTGCCTCAACACCGGCAGTCTGTGAGAACTGGGCCCGTCTCTGCACTCGAGCCAGTGGCTGGACAGCATCCTCCAGGCCTGCGGCAACGGCGAGGGCAGCAAAATGAGCGCAGAGCAGGGCCAGGGCTGGGAAAGTGCCCCAGGAACACGCAGAAGATGGGTCTCGGGCAGACCCGCTCCAGTCTCAGGCCCTCCGTCCACAGGACAGCCCCCCACAACACCCCAGACCAGGAGGACCTTTGTGACACCGGCCAGGCCCCACAGTCAGGCCAGTGCAGTGGCCACGATGGTGCCCCAGCAAGGCCACGCGTCACAGCGACAACCCTGACCGGCTCAGGGGGCACCTGCGACAGAAGCCTATTTGCAGACGTGAGAGGGACACCGAGAATCAGTGACTTCATGGGAAAAGGCAACAAAAGGCAGACAAACTCCAGGCTCCACAAGCCACCAATAACAGAAAACGCGTTCAAAGCCCATGTCGCTCTCCAGAGTATCAGAAGAGACGCCGTTCACAGAAATGTATCAGGAGCAGGCGCCTGGGGGGCTCAGACGTTGAGCGTCTGCCTTCAGCTCAGGTCACAGTCCCGGGGTCCTGGGATCGAGCCCCAGGTCGGGCTCCCTGCTCAGCGGGAAGCCTGCTTCTCCCTCTCCCACTCCCCCTGCTTGTGCTCCCTCTGTCGCTGTGTCTCTGTCAAATAAATCAATAAAATCCTAAAAAAAAATCTATCAAGAGGCTATAATTAAAAAGATACAGCCCCTGACTATCAAAAACACGAACAAACTTTTTTTAAAACTTAAAATCAGGGGGCGCCTGGGTGGCTCAGTGGGTTCAGCCTCTGCCTTTGGCTCAGGTCATGATCTCAGGGTCCTGGGATCGAGCCCCGCGTCGGGCTCTCTGCTCAGCGGGGATCCTGCTTCTCCCTCTGCCTCTGTGATCTCTCTTCCTGTCACTCTCTCTCAAATAAATAAAAAAATTTTTTTAATTGTTTTAAAAAAATAAAAAATGAGATAAAACTCAAAATTAGGGGCTTCTTGGTAGCTCCGTCAGTGGAGTGTCTGACTCTTGACCTCGGCTCTGGTCTCGATCTCAGCATCGTGAGTTCCAGCCCCGTGTTGGGTGTGGGGCCTACTTCAAAACAAAACAAAACTCAAAACCAAGCCAAGGGCCGAGCAGACACAGATAAAGACCTTGCCACTGGGCTCGGGGGCGGAGGAGGAGCGGCTGCCAGCGGGGTCCACAGGGAGGCTCGCAGCTGCCTCAGAGGCCTCTCCCTCCAGATGCGGCGCAGACTACTGTAGGAGGGTTATCGGAAAGAAGAAGGACACAGCATAAGGACAGCAGGAGGCCACAGGGAGAAACCCCAGGCCTGCGGAGCAAGGACTCGACTTGCACACAGAACTGAGGGCGGGGACACGGGCGCGAGCACTGTGGGGCAGAAGGAAGGTGGACGGCGAGGCTGCGGGGGCAGCGCCACACTTGGGGGAGAAGCCTGACCCATCTCCACGGCTCTGCCGGTCGTGGCACAGCCCCAGCCCGCCCGTCTCAGGGGCCGGTCTCTAAGGAGCACAGCACGGGGAAGGGAGGGACGCGGCAGCACACAAGGCTGGGTCACCAGTGCCAAGGCACGAGAGCCCGTACACCCTGACGTGGGGCAAAGACAAGGGATCGCCCCAAATCCACGGCCAGGACCGCTCGAATGTGCCCAGGGAGAAACGGTCAAGGACGGGAGGAGGCTGAGGACGGCGAGGCGGCTCGCAGCCCCCGGGACAAGCAGCGGCCCAGCAGCTGGGCCGTGGGGGACCCCTGCACCTGGTTGAGGGTGTGCTCCAGGGCCGGCTCGACAACTGCGCTGGGAGACCAGAGGTCGTTTAAAACCAAGTGTGAAGAAGGCCATGGAACAAAAAGGAGAAAGCGCCGTCTCTGAGCTTGAGGGTCCCGGCTGAGCAGAGCCTGCGGCCATCCACGCTGTCCTCGCAGACACCACCACGAGAAGGCCTGGAACGGTGGCCAGATCCTCCACACCAAGAAGCTGCAGAGGAACAGGGAGCCGGGAACGTCGCAGGGAAGGAATGAGGGGGAGGACCCCAGCCAGGCGGGAAGCAAACAGGACAGAGGGCACGAGCGGGCGCTCTGCGGAGGTGAGCACAGCTGCCAGCCTGATCGGTCCCCAGCGAGACCGCTTGAGGGGAACGGGGGGAAGCACAGATCAGCACGGTCGGGAGGGGAGAAGGCCATCCTCCCGCGTCAGGAGGCCCCAGAGCCCAGGGAGAGGGTCTTACCAGCGACCCCGACAACAGTCTGAGTCTGAAAATGACGTCTCACCAAACCCGACAAGGGGGGAGAGAAAAACCGAAGTGGTCCCACTAAAACCCTAGGAAAAGGCGTCGCATCCGAGAAGCTGCTCCTTCCACCTTTAGACTTAAGAGAGAAAACTGAAGGCCCAGACGAAGGTCCAGATGGCTTCATGTCCTCCCCCACATCTAGGAGGACGCTGGGGCCTTTACAGACAGCAGACAGGGTGCCCCGTGGCCCCAGGGGGCTTGTCCCAGAAGCACGAGGGGAGCCTAACATCCACAGAATCAGGGCAGTTCACCACAGCAACCAGATAAAAAGAAAACCCGTACCAGGACTTCAACAGACCCACACGGACACGTGAGGAAATGCTAACATCATGCCTGCGGACAACACGCCAGTGGCCACTGTCACGTCAAGGTCAGGAGCCGGCCAAGAACACACGTGGTCACCACCCTGCCCCACGGCGCCGGGGACAGCAGCCACACGCACACAGCACGGCAGGAACACGCACAGAGCCCGGGACACGAGTGACAGCGTGAAGATGGGGAAAGGGGCAGGAGTAATGGCGGCCACAGACCACGGGCCTGCCCACGGGGCGGCAGCTACGGGTGACCACATTTCTAAGGAAATGGAGCCATTCTGCACCAGCTGACCCCAGCCAAACTCTGGGCAAGTCTCCCTGTGGACAGCCACAGCCGACTGCCATACTCGGCCACACAAGGGAGCCAGAGAAGCCGAGACCGGGCTGAAGGGGGACAGAGCGGAGAGCCTCACGTGGGAGGCCTCGGTGAGCGCGCCGGCCTCAGCACACGCAGACCCACAGAGCGCCATTACAGAGACACCACAGACTCTGGTGTCCCGGCACAGGCTGGGGTCGACTGTCCCACATATGGCCACTGGGGACAAATGG